CCCGCCAAGTGCTCTTGAAAATTATCTTTGTCTCTTACTGCTTGGTGTATTGAATTATTAGTGTTGTTCTAATTAAGGCCAGTTTGGTTATCTGGACAGTCTCTTAGTTGTTTAGTAAATGAATTGGTTAATGGGGCAAGAATCATTTGACTTCCCATTAGTAGCACATAGCCCTTGAAGTAAGATGTTTCCTAGCCCCACATGGGCTTAAAGCCCCCAATGAGGGAAGTCCTTCAGCTCCTCACACTGGGAGCCTCTGATGTCCTGTGTCAAACAGCCAAGCCAGAGCTGCCAGGCGCAAGGTTTGAAGTCCCTGGCTCTTTGGCACAGCTTGACCATCAGCCCCAGCCACAGGTTTAATTTAAGACACTATACAAACCATCCATTAAACTGTTCTACATTACACATGGAACACACTTATGGCTTGTTTGCCATTTTATGGCACCTTAAATTGCATACACATGTAGCACCCTGACATTTATGCTATGATTAACTTGTTGGGGCACCTTGGGTTGCTACCAGATCTTCGAAGGGTTTCATGAGGTGAGAGATAAGTGAGGTGTTAGGAGATAAGCAGACAAACTAAGGAGTTACGCCCAGGCTCAGGCCTGTCCCTGCCTGGACAATCCCCCATCCCCACTGTCAGGCCCTTCTACAAAGAAGTAAGCATTGTAATCTATAAATTAGTTTTTGGAATTGGGTGCCACTCCATTCACCAAGTTATGGAGGTGTGAATTCAGTCCAATGAGGGGTGCCTTGAGTCCATAAGGATTGAGAACCACTGGTGTAGCTTGACCTGAAATAGGAGGACTGGGCTCCACACTCCGCTTTGATGTGGACTTCAGGCTGATCAGGAATTTCTTAAGGATAATCTATTCTGTAGTTCTGCTGGAATAATACAAGCATAGGCTCTGTCTGGCTGCATATAGGTATTTTTTAAAAACTTTATTAATGAATCCAACTTATAAAATAGCAGATGCAACATTCAAAAACATCCAGGCCCCCAAGATATATACAATGACAGATACCAGTCTCCAACCAAGACTGCTACCACAACCCAAATCAATGTCCATAGAAGTCTTGTGCTCCTTTCCCTTCCCCTCTCCCCTCAATCCCTGACAGTTCCTTGATGCCTCCATTGATGTAAGCTTTTGTGTTTCTTCATCTCTAAATAATAATTTACCTTTTCCCCAGAATTCCACGCAATACACTTCTCACTATCCTCTACTCATTTCTACCCACAAAACCTCAAATTCATTCCCAAGTATTAGTTAATAAAACTTGGACTTCAGCATTCAAAAACATTTCTCAAATGTTCTAGTTTGGAGATAGGAAAAGATTCTCTTTTAGCAAATTCCAAAAATTTCCATCAGATTTCTAAGCATCCTTTTTTGCTTTCTCCCCTGTAGAACATTGACTTCATAGGACAACTTTTCCATCACTAAAACTTCCCAAACTTTTAAAAACCAATCCATGATTTTAGAGGTGTCAATTCTCTTACGGGCTTTTGCAACTGTAATTTTTGCAGCCACTAGAAGATGAGTGATTAATTCCCTATGATACACATATGTTGCAGAGTTCTCAGGAAGGTTCAGTAGGAACACTAAGGGATTGTCTGATAATTGGCCTATTATTTCCCTCACCGTGTCTTTTTTTAGTCAACACCATGTCAAAATTGAAATGCTGCATCTATTAATATCACTTCCTTAGCATTCAGTCATGTAGGCTTTACTCAGAGTACTCCTTACCCATCAATTTAGCCCCATTGAAATCAACAAGACGCCAAGTGTGAGTAAAGACTACACCCAAGAGTGATGCCCCAACATCAGAGCCCTCACATCTTACAGCTTTTGTTGGCAATCTGCTAAACATATCCATATCAAAAACCTAGTGTCCTGGTATCCTGCTCCTTTGAGTGCTGATACAGTACTTAAAGGCTCAGGGGTGTCAATAAGAATTTTGCATGAATCAGGCAAGTATTTCTTTCCCCAAAGGTGTTATCTGGCTGTGTAGGCTGGGACTCCTCGTCTGGAAAATATTCAGGGGATGAAGTTTGAAAGAAGCTGTGTAATTAGAATAAGCAATACAGGTAAATGACACCATCTAATTAAGTTTTCAATTTTATTGTTATTAAAAGTTCATTATCAAATTGGCACAACACATAAAAATAGATCTGTGGTCAATGATACATATTATTGCCAGATCATTTCATGCATACCTTTTCCAAAATCAGAAGGTAACTTACACAAAGCAGCCCATTGGGCTAACTGCTATTTATAATCATTATTATTGCAGCATGGAAAGACTGCTGTCTGTTGGCTGTACTCAAATGGATAATGCAAGTTACCTTAATTCAAAGTAAATTCACAAGAACAAAATATACATGTAAACAGATGCACACATTTTTAGAGTATGTCTCAGATGAAACAAGTAAGAGTCAAGAGAAGAGGATAGTCCTAATTTCTCTAATGTTGAAGGAAATTTTGGAGCATGATTCAACTCTCTGCTGATAGACAGATCCAACAGTGCTACCAACAGAAACCAGGCAAATCCTCTGGCAACACGGGAGTCTGTTACTTTGATGCTGCACGTGTTGCTGGGTACCAGGCAGCAGGTGATCACTAACTTTAGTTGCTCATAGAATCAGTGGTTGCTGGTAGGACCTAAGAGAGCCTATCCAACCAAGACAATGTCTAAAGTTACGACCTAAGAGAGCCTATCCAACCAAGACAATGAATAAAGTTATATTCTTCCCCATCTGGGCTGGCTGTAGTTATGAAGGCTGGGTAAAGATGCAGCTCATAGATTAACTAAATCCAAGATGCATAAGCTTTCATAAGTTTGAGTTAGATCTTTCCTAAATAAGTGCTGAGCAACTTTTACTGAACAGAACTGTGTTTTTCTGCTTCACATGAGACCTCAGAAATCAAAATCACATTATAGAAATAATATAAGGTAACTAACCATATCTCAACTTATGCTGGGTATAAAAACTTTTCTCTAGTAGCTGTTTCACATAGCAAACATATAGGGCCACCATCAGCCTGATTCTGGCATCATTTATAAAAGTGTAATTCTTGTAATTGACCTAAGTGATTATGGTGCCACGAACCACAGGCAAGTTGCCACCATGTATGTGGGAATCCCATGGATTTCAATGGGAGCACCATGCATGGAGCAGCCTATGTCAAATGCACCATTTGATTGTCTGCATTACAGAATACTGTGGCAGTGTGGCTCTGTTTATTCTCCCCTAAGCTCTCTTCTTTACTTCAGAATCTGTTTTGAGCAAGGAAGGGTGGAAGTTACAGGAAGGACGTTAAGTACGCGCAGAGCTTCCAAGCTCAACAGCAACACCGTCTTCAAAAAACTGTACTGGGTGGAGGAGGTTACAATTTACAGTATGGGGAAGTCTATACCTTCTCAGACAGTCTCCATAACCCCATGTCTTATTTTTGGTCAAGCTTTGATGTAGCTCTCTGCCTCTGAGCTCAGGCTCTGTTAGTATTGCCATACAGTACTCTATTACAATGATATGACTGTTCTGGTCTCATTTCCTCCCTTTGCACAATATTAAATAACGAAAGATAAGATTTTACCTCTCATTTTGCACATTAAGGGCTATATTCAATAAAATGTCAGTGCTTGCCTCTCAGCTACCCTTCAGAGAATTACAGAAGCATAAAACTGGCACAGAGGAATGGTGAATCAGGTTCTCAGCCTGATTTCCAGCCCTTCTGCAGTTTATTCAAAATAGTCCTGAAGAAAGATGTTCTGCTTCAAACTAATGTTAAATTGGTTTAGCAATTCTGTGCATATTTTTTCACAAGCCATTCAGGGAAGGGACTGGAAATACAATATTTCACAAACAATTTGGCTGTTTGCTTATACAACATGAAGCTATTTAGTACAAAATGTTTTTCGGGTTTAGTGCAAATATTTTCAACAGTGACATCAAAAAGTAAGAAGATACAATGTAACATTTCAAATAGCATAGGTAAGGTATGAAAAATCATTTCCCTGAAGTAGTTTCAGAGACATAATGCTGAAGTACTTCAAGGCTGTTTCTGAATAGGCAATATTCTGTGATTATTTTTTTTAAAGACAATTAAACTTGGGTTGTGTTTTATCACAGTCAATTCCAAAAGAAACCATGTGTTTTTTTTTAGAATTATGCTACTTAGGAGATGCTATGTATTAGGGGTGTGCAAAGCTTCAGTCACCAATTTGATTCAGAGAAGATTCGGCCCAATTCGGAGGCTGAATCAGTGAATCCGAATTGAATCAGGAGACCAAAAAAACCCTCTGAATTGATTCAGAGCCTCTGAATCAATTCGGAGATTCGGAAGGCAGTTTTTCAGGGGAACAGAAATGGAGAAGAGGGAGGGGGATCAGGGAAGGAAAGACTGACATCGCTAGCTGGTCAGTGACTGTGATCTTTCCCTGAGTCCCCTTCCAATCACAGTGCTTTGGGGGAGGGACATAGAAACAGCACATAAGCCTCTGTCTGCAGCCTTTCTGTTCCTTTTGTGAGCTGTTTCTGTCTTAGCACCAGGAAGGTCCCCTGTTACAAGCTACCATCTCTGCTGTTTTAATCCTGCTGCATCTTAACACACACACAAAGTCACACGTCACGAGTTTTGCTTGTCAGCACCTTGAGGTGCAGTTTCCCGGAAACCCCTGCACCTATCTCCTTGAAACTTGGCAGGCATCATGCCCTCAGAAGGGGCTACCATCTCTTCTGTTTTCATCCAAATCTGCCAAAAAATGACAAAGTTATAGGTATTTCAGTGATTCCCCATTATAGTCTATGGCTGAATCACCAAATCTCTCCGAATCAGCGCTGAATCTTCCGAAGCCGATTCAGCTGAATCGACTCGGGTCAGTGATCCAAATCTCCAAATCAAATCACTGTCCTCAGAATCAGCCGAATCTGAATCAAATACTTCCCTATTCGCACAGACCTACTATGCATCTACTCCCATGCGTACGTGTCTACACGAAGCCCAGTAGACAAATTTTACTGCACATTAGCACGTCACGGTGAAAGCCGTGCTAATGCACAAATGCAAAGTAGAATTAGTCTACTGCACATTAGCATCACATAAAAAATGTACAATGGAGCTATTACACAGTAATGCCGATTACGGTGCATTAAGGTTAGTAATAACAGTTACTAACCTTAATGCACTGTAAAGACATGCCCTGTATTTATTTGTTTTAAATCACTCAAGGCTTTATTCATTCAACCTTATGTTCCGCTCACCATAGTCTGATGGTATTAGGCAGAAAGTCACAAAATAAGTGATAAAAAGTTATCTTGTTAGTTTATTTACTCACTTGAGCCTATTGGAACCAACTTTCAAAAGAGTTTGGTGACTAACGTCTCCCAATGAAATGACATGAGTAGCTGGGAACTAAATATTTTTTAAAATCTGGCCGTGTGGAGGTGCTGAGCCTTTCTGAAATCCTGGCCTACAGATGCTGCCTTCTAGATAATCAAATGCATCATTTGACAAGTACTAGCAACACGCTTAAATCAAAATCTCAGATTGGAATAATCCCTAAACTCTGGAGAAGTTTGAATCCAGGAACTGGTACTGCAGCATGATCTCATTGTTAGTGAATACTTAGCATATTCTATCTAAATGACCTGGTGAGGTATTTGGTGGTTTTTAACAAAGTCTTACTGAGCAATAACACTTAGGGCCTGATTCTTTTTTCACTTACACCAGGCATAAACTAGGTAGAAGATTGAGCTATCTGGAATAAACGTAGCATACATGAAATAAGAACCAGGTCCCATGCAGTCTCAGACTTGCCTATTTTGACTCTCTGCAGCTGGGAACTGCCTAGCCACAAAGAATTAAAAGACTTCCAACTGACTAGCCTACTGGATATGAAAGCAATAACTGTGATTTTTATTTACCATTTTTTTCTCAGTATCCAAACTTGTGAACCTTTTGTGATAAACTAAGTTAAAACATACTAGAAATATATTATCAATCCTCCCTTTCTTTGGGCCTGATTCTGAAATCACAAGAGTCAAAATAATGGGTTCCTGTAGATGTGTGGGGAGGCTGCTCCAATATATTATAATTACTATGTTGGAGCAGACTCAATTAATCGAGTCTGCTGGAGCATGCTAATTAGCGTGCTGCAGCCAGCCTTCGTGTCTTGTGTATCAGTGTCCCCATGCTTCAAAATGGCAGCAAGGGTGCTTCAACTAAAGGTTGTTCTATGAGTTCTTCATGAAAGATCCACAAGTTTGGATACTGAGGAAATGGTCAAAAGTCACAGTTATTGCTTTCACATCCAGTTTGATGAGTTTTAGTTAAAGCGCTTCCACCCCCATTTTGAAGCGCAGGAACGCTGATACATGAGATGCTGTAGGTGCTTTAATGGTTCTGAGAGCCACTCTAATTACAGTACCTCCCAAAACCTCAAAGCACGGGTAAAAAACCCCCAAAATGCTTGCAGTTGAAGCCAATGGCACTACATCAGGGTGAAACCAGAATAAGACTGGGATGAGGCACTCTAAGTATTGTCTTGGACAGAAAATTATTATTCATTATGAAGAACAACATACAGGCAGCTGAGAAATGTAAAACAGTACCCAGGTTTAACACCAAGAGTCTTGTAAGGGTGGGGGGCAGTGAAAGGATCACCTCCTGGGGTTCCTTTGACCTGGACAAAGCACCAAGCACAAATCTTGACAGTTCATTTTTGCATTCATGAGTTATGCTTCTGCTCTGCACAGGGTTATCACTGGGTTACAGAAGTCTAAGGGCTGCTCTAACTGATACAAGCTGCAAACAGTTGAAAGGGGATGAAAATGTACTAACAGAGCAGCTGAGCAAGGGCAGTTCAACCAACCCTTTTGTTCCCAGATATAAAACAACATGGCAGCATGGAGAGGAAATGGTATAAAAGCATCTGTCTGTACAAACATTCTTCCTCTAGTGCTATTCTCCTGGGCTGGCTACATTAATGGGCAAAATTAAGAAAATGCTGGACAAGGCAGCTGTTAATAGGTCCAAGCCAAAATTTATGTCCTACTTACACCTGCATTTGAGCTGTAAGAGGTTGCAAAAAAAGGTGGCAAATAATCCAAACATTTCATGTAACAAGCTTCTTTTCCTAGATTTTTATTTTTAAGAATATATTTTTGTACTGAAACATTTTCAGCATTCTTAATACATTTGAAAATGACACGGTCATTTCAATACTTCTGTAAAATAATAAAAGCAAAGCAAGACAGAAACATTTTATATCAAGAGTCAACCTGAAGTACAAACTGAGTCCAATTTACATATAAAGCCATACACCAGGAAAAAAGAAACTCTAAAAATAACATGTAGGCTCTGGTTTAATGTGTGTGTGTGTGTGTGTGTGTGTGTGTGTGTGTGTGTGTGTGTGTGTGTGTGTGTGTGTTGGGGGGTGGGGTGAGGAATAATCATTGCAATTCAAAGTTAAGGCTAAAACTCCATTTTTAATCACATTGTATAGGTAGAGGTCTAATTCTGATTTCACTCATGCGAGGGAAAATTCATTCTCATTTTAGCCAATGAAATTTAATTTCTACTAGAACAAGATGAGAATGAAGCCTCTAGGTTTTTAGTTTTTAGGGGACTAGATCCAAAGTGCAGCGAAAAGACTTTCATTGACTTTAGTGGACATTGGATTAGGGCCATAGGTAGGATGCTGGCTTGCTCCCTATGACTTCCTGACTGAGGGTCATATCAGCTTAGAATAAAGGTAAAATGAATTGACTTACAAATTTCAGGGCTATTGGTTGTAGCTGTGTTGGTCTAAGGACAAAGGCAGACAAAGTTCTTTGGGTAAATCTGATATTTTTTATTAGACCAACTAATAAGTTGGTCTAATAAAAGATATTAGATTTACCCAAAGAACCTTTTCTTGACTTGTACTTGACATTCTAGACTTAACTCTTGATATTCCAGTTTTGGTTGGATTAATCCAGGTCTTTATCATAAGCTTAACATAGTTCCATCTGTGTCTGTCTGTCTTTCTCTCATGCTGTGCTATAAAAATGTCATCATAATGTGTGTCTTAAAGTCCTTATAATACATGGTTTTAAAATTGTCTATATTCATTTCTCTTTCTCAAACTATAACACTTCAAAAAGACCTATTATATTCCATTGTGTAAAGCCAAGAGGAAAACAAGTATACTTAGTTTTAAAGAAGCCATGAAAAGTTACTGTGTTTATTCATAGTGTAGAGCAATTACAGTGTTTATACAGCTATGTCTATTTATTTAAAAAGCTATTTGGAAAAGTTATTATTCATGTGCAGTAGCTGATTTTCAAGTGTTAGTAACTTGGCTGTCTAGACTAGTTTTCAATTTAGCGTCAAGGACCAAATTATGACCTTGGATATATGCAGAGAATTTCCCACCAACCCCGCCAAAATGGCTAGTTCTATTTTGAACTAGTAGCCTATAAAATGTAACTGTGTTCTTGAATTTATAAAAGCACATTTAAAACTTAATTTTTTCTAGTTAAGTTTGAAAAATGAATCCACCTTAGCTTGGACCTACCATTTACAGCGAAGTTATAAAGCCCTGAAAAACAGTTTCTAGTGAATACACGAACAGACCTTCACCATCAGTGGGCCAAGAGGACATCATTAGAATGTAATCAACTGTTCAATAAAGTGTGACTCATTTCAAGAATATGTTACATTTACCCAAAGAACCTAAGACATGTACATTCAAAATGCTTATACTTTGCTGTTCTGAATGATCAGTAACCCCCTGTTCATATTTGCTAATAATACATACATGAGTATAAATAAATAAAACTACAGGTAAGCTTTAAAAATTGTATTAACATGACATGTGCAAAACTCTGAACAATCTACATTCTATGCAAATACCCTGACTAAAATATACAAACCCTATCCTGAAGCCCTTACTCAGTTTTCGCACGGCCTAGAGGCCAGATCTTCCATGGGGGGAAGTCAGCATATTTCCACAGAAACAAATTAACTTCCATTGATTGCCCCAGCTGAAGATCTGGCTACTCCCTGGGGCAAAAATCCCATAGTAATATATGGGAATCATGCTCAAGTAAGGATAGGAGGTTCGATTGTGCCCCATTGACGTCAATGGGAGTATTACTATTTTGATGTCAGTGGAAGCAGGCTCAGGTCCTGGATAAGGATTTCATCATTTGGCCCTGTGTTGTGCTACACTAATCCACTTCAGTGCAGGTACAATATTTGTAAAAGAAAACTTTGTATGAGGGTGTGTGTGTGTTTTAAATAACTGTTCAATAACTGCTTTTAGCACTTCTTTTCAGAAACTGCCTTTCTGTGAGAAGATTAATAGCTGCTGCAATTTAAAGACTGGATTGTAAGTCTTTCCAAATCCATTCTAATTTGATTATCCAGCATGGATGGGTTATCTTTTTGTTCCAAGAAAAATGGCTCAGTGTCTATTAATCAACAGCTTTCTTCATTAGGATAAACAACAGTTCAATTCAGCAACGTATTCTTTACTGCACACAGGAAACAAACAGTGAAGCCTGTCTATTACAGTTGTGTCCAGACCCAGCTGTCACTGATCTTCCAGACAGATGATGGCACATGAGCCAGTTTGGAATCTACAGTTTCTAACAAGTTCAGCCAAGTTTAGTAAGCTGAAGATCTCCATTTATCTTTATTGTGTCAATTGCTGACAATGTTTCAATACGATGGTAAAAATCAAAAAGCTGATGTCCATCCACAAATATTCTAAAACGGGGGTGCTCACAAAGAATTTCAACCTGGAAAAAAATAAAACGATGGTTCACAATGTAGTTGACACGCGTTATTTCACAGGACAAAAATGTCATGTGCTTGCTCTGCACTAAAACAACAGCCAATGGCACTTTTATGCATGGTTACACTGAGTTGAGCAGTGTGAGTGAGCCCCATCGTGAAATCATGCTCTGCCCGTTCACTCTGGCTCTGTGCACATTTTAGTGCATGTGCAACATGGCTCTTAGGCTCAGGACACCTCACAAGAGGGGTGCTGGGTGTCTAACAGTGGCTTTATGATGCTTTTTTTGGCCCATCATGCACAAAAGCAGGTGTAGGCAGGCCTGCGTGTTTTCACTGTGGTGCTCCCTAGCACTGCCTGATGCAGTGTAGATGTGCCCATTATTACTTAAGTACTATGTGCCAGTAAGAACGTAGCAGCCAAATTTTTCTTTCAGCTACATGGTTACAGATCTCAATTAGCTTTATAGAAGTTAGCAAAGTTACTCTAGATTTATACTGGCACAGCCAATGACAGATTGCAAATCAACCTTTTTCTTGTGATGCAGAAGTCACTCTTACTTACATGTATCTCTTAGCTTGGAATACTGGCAGAACTGGGACCCATATATTAACTAACATGTACAGAGACAGATCATGCCACCAAAAATCATGTGTTAAGCTCTACTCTCTCCTGTGAAGAGGGCAGTTGCCTCCACAATGCTGTTTCTTCCTTCCTAGAATGCTCCTTAGTGTTAAAATCCATGCATCAAGACAGTTTAGGGATTAGGTGGACTGAGCCAGGTAGAGAGTGGTCCTACATCACATATGGGTGGAGGTCACATTGGCCTCCACATGGATTTCTTGGAAAGATAACCAAGGCCAAAGCTATATCAGCTGCTCTGTCCAGCCCTGTCCTGGGTGACTATTCACCTGAGCCAGCTTTGATCAGAGAACTCCTAGGAGCTAATCTTCATCAGAGCTGCCCTGCCAGGAAGCAGAGCTCTGAGGTTGCTGAGTGCTAAGGGTAAGGGCACAGAGACTCAGCTACCAGAGATTCCCCAGGTCTGGGCTGATGACAGAGGGAGTCTGAAATCCTTGCTAAAAGGGTATGATCTTGCTCCCAGGGCATATCCACAGGTATGTGCAATTATTAACCCGGAAAGCTGGTGAACCAGGTCCTAACAGTACTTTCAGGTAGCCCCACTCTGTTCCTAGTGTGTTGTGTACTTACACCCAAGGATAGAATTTATTCTTGTGATAAATAAGCCTGGACCAACCAACTAGAATCACTAAAATGCCTCATTACATTCAGCTCCAGCACTGAAGGTCCACTTTGAAAGTTACCATGAGCCATTCTAGTCTTTTTTAATTTTAATTCAATTGAACCATCCAGGTCATTGGATGGTTCTGCCAATAATCCATTTAATGTAGGGGAAGATGTTTAGAGACTACAAGTGTCAAATGGGTGCCTAACTTCCATTTGTGCCTTGGGAAAAATCCAAAGCATCTGGCATAAGGCACATGCTATTAATCTCTTTTAATATAAATCAGCATCAATAGGGTATGGGATTTAAAATGACAGGTCTAGATAAATTATTTGTCTACCTAGTCAAAGGACCAAGCCCTGATATTGCTGAAGTCAATAATAAAACTCTCATTTGTTTCAACTAAAGCTGAATCAGGCCATATGCTCTTTCAAGTACATTTCCAGCTACACTTACCCCAGTTGCCAGCTATTATGGGAGAGTTGGTAGGAGCAAACCCACCACCTTTTTGGGGCTTCAGCAATATCAGAGGAGTTGTGTTGGATGCACCCTTCTATTCCCTAGCTATTTGAGGATACTTAGCTTTTGGGTTCGGGGAGATTACCTTGGGGCAGACAGGACTAAGTAGATTTGGCAGTCATTCAGAAATCTGACATTTATCATGGGGCCCAGAAGGATTTATAATATAGAAGCACAGGGGTGCTTTTTCTGGGTCAACTGCCTGGAGAAGGCAGGCAGTCTTTCTTCTCCATGAACTTGGGTCACTGGTAACAAGGCTCCGTGCAGCTATAAATGTTGCTGGCCCTGATTAGCAAAGACATCCTTCGCAGGACCACAAACATTAGAGATGGGAAAGCTCTTTTAGGCCTCCAGAGTGCTGCCTATATTACACTTACAGGACACTTTCAGACAGCTCCATTCTTACAGTTTGCAAGGCTATTTTGAACTCCAGGTTACTGAATTAAATATCATTTTATATAAAATTAATTGACGCAATGGACCAAAGCCCGGGAATATCTCCAGAGGGGACAGAAGTTACATCATAATGCTATAACCGTCCAGCCCTCATTAACAATAAATTTACAACCATTGTGCCCAGAAAAAGAAAAGCTAAGAGTGTGACAATCACAAACAGTATTTAAATAATAAGATCTTAAAACATAGCACTAATATAAGAATGTTTTTAATTGATAGCTATTAAAACCAGGAAGCGTACTTCATTACTAAGCATTATGATCTCCAGCTTGTCATATTTGTCTTGTCAAATATTTGAAAGTCTGCCATAAAGAATATGGAGAAATCTCCTCTCCCTTGCCAGGAAGGGCAGAAGATGAGGCAATAGGTTTAAGCTACAGCAAAGAAGATTTCATTCAAAGCTAAGAGAAAGTTCCTAACTCTACAAGCATTTGGACCGTGAAACAAGCTGCTAAGGGAAGTTGTGGAATCTCCTTTATTGGGGGGTTTCAAGAAGAAACTGTCTGGGCTAGGTTTAAAAGAGAATCCTGCATTTGCGTAAGGGCTTGGATCATCCCTGTGATGTTTTATTGCTTATATAAATGAAAGGGGGGAATGCTATAAATTGCAAGTAACAGTATGTGCATGAATATACACCACTTTTGATCGCTATTTTTATATCTGTCATCCCAACAGAATAAATGCGATTTCTCAACGTGCAAGTCATATTGTGCTGCACCATCAAGTCAAAGGACTTCTTTTACAACAGATGGATGTTGTTCTGCTGCTGGTACTCACCCTAAACGGCTGGTCTGGAATGAAGGGAAAGTATGGAATTGACGACTGTTCCTCCCCCCGTTCACCAGATATACAAGAGTTTCTAAGGAACTGCCTGTCTGGAAATACAGCTTTCAGTTCAATGGCTACATCTGCAGGAGGATCTTCTGAGTCTCCGCATGTGAGACTGATGTCAAAGCTGAAACAGGAATAAAACGGCTCTCATTCACCAGGAAATAAGCAAAGAAATCCAAACTGCAGCGTGTCTGATTTCTAATTTCATTCAAAACAAGCACAGGAGACCTGGGTCACAGGAAACAGCTAGTCCCAAAAGTTGACAGAGGGTAATGACACAAAATATATCCTACTGTCATTTTGTTCGCTAAACCTTGTCTTCCTTTACTACAAGGGATTATGTTGGAAAACAAGGATCCTTTTACGAAAGGCCCCCTCTACAGGTCAAAAGAGAAACCAGGCTTCTCTATTTATAATCTGATAAAAATATCTGTCTTCAAGAATGATGGATGTTTTTCAGTGAAATTCTTTTCGTGGGAATGTTGTACTTTCTTGGAGCTCTTTGCTGGGAAAAGGCATGTAGAACTGGCACCACCCTGCCAGCAAGAAGCAAGGTCTGCCTCTATGTAATTACCTCTCGGGGTTGAGATCCACTATGCCCATAACTAAGATCTTCTTTCCCGGCCTCATTCCTCCTTTGATGTGCCCACTAAAGGGGACGACCTGAAAAAGGACAGGGGATGAGGGGGGCATCAGAGCAAGCAACTCCAGAAGCTGGCAGCCGACTGGGCCCAATCAAGACCGACAGGGCAGGGAGGGGAGGGAGATGTGTGAATGAAACCATTTACCAGCCGTGGAAAATACACATCCGCTTGCACTGGGGATCCCAAGGCGTTGTTTAAATGCCCATCCTCGATTTTCTAAGGATGAAACAAAAGAGGCACTGAGACAGAGCGACCGCCGCGCCGGTCTGGGGTAGGCTGCCCGCAGCAAGTGGCACAGCCTGCCCATTTCCAGGCCCTCCCGCCTCCTGCGCCCAACAAAAGGCGCGGCTGCCCCGCTCTGCCCCTGAACTTGGCAGCCAGGGCTGGGCCCTGCCGGCGTCTCGCTCCCGGGTGCCGCCTGCCCTCCCCTGGTGCCCGGCACCCGGCCAGCAGCGGAGGGCCTGGGTAAGGGGCCGAGGTGGCAGGGGGGCGCCCTCCCTCCGCCTGGCAGGCTGCAGGGAGGGAAGGAGGGAGGGCGGC